CTCTCTGGTCATATTAAAAAAAAAAAAATCTCATGCTCTTATAGTTTCAGACTTAGCGCTCTCCTACTGGCTGTATACCTCAAAGTCGTCTCTAAAAACTACCTCTGACATTTCCCTCTTCCTCAAATAATTTTCAGGGCTCCCCAGAGCCCTCTGGATCAAGTTCAACTTCTTTGATCGGACATATCACATCACGGTCTATTGTAACTCTTGTATTCGGATCCCCGAGAAGCCCACCTTGGCTAGGAGGAGCACATCGATGAAGTCCAAAGTCTTCGCCTTGGCCTTGGCCTTGAGGAAGTCGTCCACCCCCTGACTAGGGAGGGTGCGGCGCCTCTCCCGGATGACGGCGTCTGTGAAGTCGTGCACCAAGCGGCAGGCCCTACGGAAGCGCTGCCCGTCGGAGGTGAGGTAGTACAGGGCGTCCGCGTGCAGGAGGAGCTGCTGGTGCCTCTTCACCACCAGGGCGCTGAGCTCCAAGATGGCGGCGATGTACTCACTGGGCTTCCTGCAGGAGAAGGGCATGAAGGGAGGCGGCACCTTCTTACATCTGCAGCCTGAGGAGCACCCGACTAGCTACAGCCATGAGCTCCCCCCCCATTAGAAAACTGAGTATCGGGACCAGCAGTTAGCGTAATGGCTATGTCGCTGGACTCCCACGTAGTCGACCGCGGTTCGCGTCCCGGACCCGGTGGCTTAGAACTCCCGCCGGGCGCGTGTGCATGCGTGCCCAAGATCCCGAGAGGAGAATAGAGGAGAAGGGATTGCGGCGTGACCATCCTCCCTGGAGGGTGATTTCTCGCTTTCTGTCTTTCCGTCTCTCTCTGTCTGTCTGGCAAGAGCACATGCCCTATAGTGAAAACCTCTCAAAAAAAAAAAAGAAAGAAAGAAAAAAGAAAACTGAGCATCCAGAAAGATACACGGTAGGGATGAGCCGTGACTCTGGACTCTTCAAACTCTCTTCTCTCCCTGCATTTCATCTCTATGAGCTTCCTCCATGCCCTGGACACCCAGGGCACAGGTTGGGCATCATGGTCCTTCCTGTGCATTCTACCCTGTCTCCACTCTGCCTCCTCTCCCTCTCCAAACCATTCACACAGGTTAGGCATCCTTTTCTCCCAACAGGCCCATGGCCCAGCCTCCTCCAGCCTCCTCCCAGCCTCCTTGCATTCAACGTTGGCTCCATCCAGTGTCTAAATCTCACTCCGTCCTCTGCAGGGCTTAGCTCTAACCACACCCATCATCAGCTCAAACACCTTCAATGGGTTCCCTAGAAACCTCAGGATACAATTCATACCTCTTTGCCTGAAATGTTATTTTAAAGAATTATTTTAACTGTATTTATTTATGATTGATATTTTCCAGTTTGAGAAAAGAAGCTCCCAGGTCTGGGACTTGAACCATGGTTAGCTATGTGGGAGTCTAGTGCTCTTAATCACCACACCACCTGCTGGCCCCTCTTTGCCTGAAGTTTTTCTGTCCTTAAAATCTAACCACTGTTGAGACTAGCAGATGGCGTAATGGTTATATCGCTGGACTCCCACATAATTGACCACAGTTCGAGTCTTCAACCTGGCACTTTAAATTTATGCTGGGTGCATGTGCAGGCTTGGCCAAGATCCTGAGAGGAGAATGGGGGAGAAGGGATTGCAGCATGGCTATCCCCCTAAGGGGTGATTTCTCGCTTTCTGTCTCTCTGTCTCTTCAGCAACCATACTTGCCCTATATAGCAAAAATCTCTCTTAAAAAATTTTTTTTCTGCCCCCTGTCTGGGGCTGGCAGGTGGTCAGCATAGTGGTTAAGGAGCTGGACTCCCACATGGCTGATCAGAGTTCTAGTCCCAGACCTGACTGCTTACTTTCTCATTTTCATTTTGTCTCTCTCTCTTTTCTCTGGTCATAGTAAAATAACAATAATAGTAATAAATAAAATAATTATGTTTTAAAATTTAGCTTTACTTATTTTTTTAATTATTTATTTTATTTTATTTATTCATTCATTTATTATTATTATTATT